TACAGTTCTCTTGGGTGCAAGAATTCACTATAATTAATATAAAATGCTAGTAAACTTCAACTATTTAACTTGTACCAATTACTTTCAATTTTGTTTACTCATAAGTTGAATTAAAAATGGAAATTCTTAGACACAGTCAATACAACTCACTCATATACTCCACATATCTAGGAATCAGAGACAGGGGTATCTCTTTGACTTTATGGCCAGTCTACTCTACATAGTGAGTTCCATGTAGCCAGGATTTCGTAGAAGACGAAAAAAAAAAAAAAATGAAAGGCAGTGTTTTCTTCCTGTTCAAGGAATGGAGTTGTTAAACCAAAGCATGCAAAATTCTGAACTCTTGCCAATTTGACCATATTAGGTTCCAAAGTACTGAGTATGTGACTATGAGCAGTGTAGGGTCAGGTTTCTCTATGACATTTCACAGGATTTGTCATTTCATAGAATAAATATTCATTAAGTCTCTTGTCTTATTGGTATCTGAAAAGTATAGATATCTTAGGATGTACAGAGCACTGGAATCTTTGACAAATTATTCAGTGGTGTAATTTTACTTTTCTTTACCTTTTCAAGTGTGTGGAATTTCAAGGTACTGACACACTCGTGACATTTGCATATTTTCCATATTTTCATTTCATTTTATGGTTTATGTTTGACTGTTATTTTAAAAGGCTTTATTAGTATCATAACTCATGTTTTATATTGAAAACTATTTTCTCTGTCCCTTTTTATTTCCATTTTCTGATAATTGTTTATATTCATAAATTATAACATTAAAATTATGTGGTTTTTAATGTATAGCAATGATTTAACTCTTCTTAAAGGACAATCATGAGATTCTAAGAGCTCAGTTACTAGAACATTCCATCTGTAAAAATATGCCAATAAAACATCTTATCACATTTACCAACATCTTATTCTATTGGCTTATTTTATTTTATGTTTTGTCCTGTTATTGCAATGAATAGTCTGAATCAGAAAAAGAAACATTCAAATGTACTTTCTATGTTCATTATTATTATTATATACTTAAATTTTTGGTAAAAGATATATTGCTTATTACTATGGAAAATAAGTGGAATGGCATTCTTCAGTCTATAAAGAAGTTTTAAGATTGCAGTTTGTGTTTGTGTACCAGTGAATGTGTGTAGGTGCAAGCTCTAGTGTCACTGTAACCTACGTGAAAGAAAGAGACATCATTCAGGTGTTGATCTTTTTCCTGCCACTGATTTTTTTCTTATTTTGAGATTCAATTTTTGCTACTGCCTAAGCCAGGCTATCCGGCCCACAAGATTCTGATATTCTGTCTCCAGTTTCCACTTCTCATAGGCTGCTGTGTTTAAGGACATGTGCCATTTCCTTAGGATTTTATATGTGTTTAGGGTTGTCTGGACAGTGCATCCAGCACTTTTAAGCACTCATCCATCCCTAGAGGCTGTAAAGCACTTTTCTTATTTTCTCATAGGAATATTTTTAGTATCCTCACTCATCTTAATAAATATCACAATTGTCTTTGTGATTGAGTCTCATGATAGCAACCTAACATCTTCTTTCTGTTACTGAAAAGGCTTACCTTAGATCTCCCCATGGGGTACATGCTGTGCCAGTGAGCCACTGTCATGATGAGCAGCAGTTTCAGAGCACAAGAGTACAGGTGTGTCAATTCAAGTGTTGATGTGGTAATGGTATGACTCATTTGGGCAATTTTTAACAATATTTTTTACTATTATTTCTTTTCTTAGAAGAAACATATCATTACAGCTTTAATATGCTTAATAACAGTTACCAGAGCAAGGATACAGCTCTTTCAAAAGTGGCTAAAAATTTTAAGGTTCGCTGTTGAATTAATACAATTATACAATATTGAACTCAGTATAAGCCCTGTAAGACATAAAAAAATAAGTTTTTAACCTTTAAAAAAGATCTCCATTTTGTTTTAAAATATACTGTTTCTTACAGAAAGACTCATTGTTTTTGCTAATAATGCTGAGATGTTGGTGCATGTGTCTCCAATCTGTATGTATTTGATTATTACTAGTCATAATTGGTTGCACTCAGATCCCTGGCACCTGTGTATGTCTATAAAGTCATTGGGCAGATTTCAGTGGTAATGTTTATCACCTCTACTAAACAGATCCTCAAACGACCTTAAGAGTAAAAATAGGTTTATCTGGGCCAACTGTATGGCCTTAAACACCCAAATCTCCCATAGCCTCCCTCCCGCCACTAGAGTCCTTATACTCTGTTACCCTGCTACTGTCTGCTGTGTTGTCGGCACCCCAAGCCATTCCCCACTACTTGTCCATCTGGTGAATCTAGTCAGCCTATCTAGAGGTCTTTGTTTTAGGAAGGTCAGTTGTTCCTCATCTAGCAGCAATCAGTTGTCAATATTCCTTTAGATAAGAATGGGGTCTGCTGTCCATTTTCCCAGTTCTATTCTGGGTTACTATCTGGGAGTCCCTTGGGCCACCCTGGCCAACAACTCAAAAGAAGGTATCTCCTATCTGGCATTGTTGCTTGTTATGCAGACTTTAGCAATAGTTGTTTATATTATTTATTCATGTTGAACAATATTTTTTAAAGGCTGACAAGTCACTTATATTGGCCCCTTAATAGTTTTTTATATTATTTATTCATGTTGAACAATATTTTTTAAAGGCTGACAAGTCACAGAGAGGTGCAATAGGAGTGATTTGTCCTGTTTCAATGTAGAACAAAGTGCCTCTTGTATCAACCATGGGATGAACAATAGTGGAGTGATTGGGAAACATTTCATTTGACTATCTTTATTGTATTAATGGGTTGGTCTAAAATACTTCCTCTTCTCTTCTCTTGTCTCATCTCCTCCCCTCTCCTCCCCTCCCCTCCCCTCCTCTACTCCCCTCTTCTCTTCTCTTCTCTTCTCCTATTCCCCCCTCTATCTTTCCCTTCATCTCATTCATTATCAGGACCCGCGTTTGCTTTGCTCAGCAGGGAACATACTTGCTTCTGTGGCAGAGAGACTGGATTGGTGACAGAGTAACAATGCTGAGACTTGTGGTTTCCTTCACACAAGTCATTTATTACAAAATTCAGAGGGCTTTTATACATTACCAGGAACTGGCAATCATGTGAGGTTTTTCAGGTACACACAAAGATATAGGGCACAAAGAAATAGGACATATAGCTTTTTAGTTGGTGCCAGCAGAATGCTTAAACTTTTACTCAAGTTTACCTATGTCTATCTGATAATTTATTGGGCATAATGTTTTCTTTCTTAAGGCTAAAAGCATGGTAAAGTTTTAGCTTTTAGCTCAGGAGTAATCTCTTAATTAATAACAGCTGTATTTGTTCAGGACAGGGTGATGAGCTAAGGGTTGTTGACCAAGGTGCTTTCCCATGGAGCAAGAAGCCTAAATTTTTGACCTAGCCACTTTTCTCTTCCTAGCCCCTAAGTGTTCTGCAAGACAGAGATATCAGAGCTGCTGTTTTCAGTACCCCTTCCTTTAGCAGAAAATGTAGCCTGGACGTAAAAAGTTTGAGGCTCATCTCATCCTAGGGCATGCCATCCTAGCTTCGTACAAGTCACCTGCATGTTGGAATTAAAATTGGAACAAATACAGATTTTTACTGTAAACTGAAGAGTGAATGGTGAATAGGCACAAAAGCTCAAATTTTTACTCTAAAACAAGCAGTGAACAGATGCCTTGTTTATTCTCTGCAAAATAAAGATGTGAGAAGGGAAAACTGATTTCTGATTTTGCTTTCACCAGGAGACACCAGCATGAGATGGAATAATGCCTATCTCATATTCATGAGGCATGAGGAAGACCTGGTTTTGAGGCTGAGGATTCTCCAAGACATCCTTTCTCAGATGATGAATCACCTGGGCACAAGGGAACATTAAACTCTTACCAGGAAGAAAAATATCAAAGCACCAGTAGATAGCTTTATGTACCTGCTGTCAACATCACAAATGACCTATGGAATAGTGAGTGTCAGCCACTCAGGGGGCATTTTGGATATAGAATGAATTAACATCACCATCCTACAAAGGTCTCACGAAAATAAAGACTAACTTCTCTGTTATGAGGAAGGTAGGTCACTGTGAATCTTACCTACTTCTGAGGCCACATACTGCAGGTGTGAATACCATCCTTCCAATTTTAATCTAGTTCTCATTTTTCTACTTTCTTTTCAACTGCTACTGCTTAAAGTGAATGTTCTGTAATTGTTCCATGGCTGTAACTGAAGCAAGTGATGTAAACAGGAGTGAAATACAACAAACATGCCAGAACAATTTCTTAAACACCAGATAATACTGAACACAAGAATGCAAACACACAATCTAAGCTAAGTGTGTAAGAATTTTATGTAAGTAGGTATACATATCCAGACATGTGCCTTGGCAGCATTAGTTTGGTTTTGAGTTTTATCTCAAATACACTGACTGTGATCACAGCAGAAAAACAGAAACACAACACACTCATTCCCTAGGGGCCCAAAAAGCCACTTCTCAATGTGAACCCCATTCTGTCTTCTAGAAAGGACAATGATTTCAAGTGTCCACAGAGAGCTATTATTCAAGTTCCAAAATAAAGTTTTCTTTACAGGGTAACATGTCAGCTGCTTAAACTCAGTACACTACACAAATGTATGGGAGCCAAATTTCAGAAACCATTCACCAATATCCCAGTACGGTATCCCTGCTAGTGACTTTACAGTAATGGGTTTTACCAGTGAAAGGAGAAGAACAATTTTTATGTGGTAATCCAATTTTCTCTGAGGTACTACCACTAACTTGCACTCAGGCTCATCCTCCTATAGAAACTGGTTTCCTACTAAAACATTGAGTACCACATAGGTAAGAATCTAAGCTTCATCCTTTAGACTCTCACATCAAATGAAAACTGATAATCTAAAGTTTTCTAACATTAGTTTTTGAAACAAGTAATACTGATTAAAGTCATAATTTGTTATGTTATCTTTGTACTTCATTTCATGTTTTTATTTTCCAGTTGTGTCCACAATTTCTTTTATCAGCATGATTGTGACAAACGTAACAGCAGTGACTGACTTCCTCCTACTGGGGTTCTCGGACAACCAGGAGCTGCAGATCCTGCATGCTTTGCTCTCGATGATGTACTTGTTTGGTTTGGCAGGTAACTTCATCATCATCACCATCACAACAATGGACCTGCAGCTCTAATCTCCAATGTTTCACTTCCTGAAGTACCTTTCCCTTCTCAACCTCTCCTCCCTTTCTGTTACTGTCCCCTGCTCTATCCACAGTTTCCTGACTGGCACTGGATTCTTTTCCTATGCTCAATGTGTGTCATATATTTGGGCTGGGCTGAGGTGGCAATTCTCACAGTGATGTCCTATGACCACTTTGTGGCCATCTTCCTCCCACTTCATTATGAGGTTAGTATGAGTCCCAGAATGTGCAGATTGGCTGTGGCAGCTGTGTGGCTAAGTGCAGCCATGCCAGGAACCCTGTGTACAGCAACCACATTTTCTATCACATTCTTCAGGGCCAAGGTAGTCCACCAGTTTTTCTGTGATATTCCCCAATTGCTCAAGCTCTCCTGCTCCAATGATTACCTTGGAATGACTGTAGTGGTTGCTTTCATGGCAGTGGTGGGAATTGCCTGCTTTACTGCCATTTGCCTCTCCTACATTCAGATATTCTCCACAATCCTCAGGATGCCCTCTGTGGAAGGTAGGTCTAATGTCTTCTCCACCTGCCTGCCCCACCTCTCTGTTGTCTCATTTTATATTTCCACTGGCATCTTTGCATATCTAAAGCCAACCTCAGACACTCCAACTGCCTTAGACCTCATGATCTCTATGTTTTATACAGTACTACCCCCAACACTCAACCCTGTTATCTACAGTCTGAGTAATGAGCTGATGAAAACAGCTGCAAGAAAGTTACTGTTAAGTGAGATTCCCTGGCAGAAAATTAGTTTTGTCTTGTTGTCCATAGACGGCAACATTATGCAGAATAATTTTTTAATAAGTTTTATTAGCAATATGCAGTAATCTTTTTTTTCTGTAACAGTATCTAAGGCCATTGTCAATATAGAAATTCCTCCTCTGATTTCTCTAACTCTGGCACTGAAAGCATTCTTGTTCTTTCATGTTCAGGGAAGATACAAAAGAATAACCTAGTAATACAGGTTCAATGCTTCATAATTCTCACAGTGCATATGCACAGATACATAATTGTGCACATCAAGAATTATAGTGAACATAGAATATGTACATGTGTAATCTCACAATAAATGGTGGCACTATGTACTTATAATTCCAATCACCAAAGTGTTGATGATCACTTCAGTCATTTAGCTTCAAGTGCCAATTTTAAATCTGGCGAGTGTCCATACAAAATATATATTACAACAAGCCCACATTCCATTGCTGTGCATAATTACATTTAAGTCTAATCACTCTACACACTGCATATTATTCACTGTATTCCACATGAAATACATTAAACTTTCAGTTATATATTTATACTAATTGATTTTTTGAGACAGGAATAAAATTGAAGTTATTCTTAATAATTCAAAACAATAATGTCTTTGAATCACAGAGTAGACAAGTAGAACTGTCTTCCCAGTTTGAACAAATTATTTTGCAAAAATACATATTGGATAGGACTGTAACAATGAAAGATTTTGTGGTCCCTAGAAACCCCCTGTTGTATTATTTATTCTTGCAACAAATGTGAAGAGCTCTTGTATTCTCAGTGCCTAGGAAATAGCAGTACCTTGATATTTACATAGGTTTTCCCCAAAAGGTCTTATTTTACAATCTGGGCCTGGTGGAGTATGCCTTTAATCCCAGCACACTGGAAGCAGAGCTCAAGTCCAGCTTGGTACATACCATGTTCTAATCTTTCTCAGGCTACAGGGAAACCCTGTCTCAATAAACAAAAGTGTAGTATTTTACCTTTGCTAATTTTTATCAATGTGTGATAGTTCAAGTGTCTGGACACAACCATTATATAGAAGCATTTTTCAGGTTTTCATTTAATTTTACATTTTAATTTTCCCTTGATTATATACTTTGAAGTTTTTATATTTCTATCATTCTTGGTAGTAAAAAGTTCTCAATCCATATTTATTTCAATTTTACAGTTATTTGTTTCACTATATAATACATATCAAGTTGATTATGAGTTCCTATGAAAACAAATTTACATATTATCAAGACATAGCCTTCAATAACTTTCATCATTTCATCATTCTGATGCTTAACATATTAGATATTACAGTTTACCTTCAATGGTAAACAAACTCTGCTGTTTCCTTTGAGATCTATATGAATGAAATACATTAATATTAGTTCTGAAATATTATTCTACTATATTATTGTAGTTAGTGCACTGAATGAAAAATATGAAAAATATACTTTCAATTATAGCTTTGGAATTTCATTTTATTCTATAATTAAATGTTTTTATTAAACAGTGCATTACTGATTCCCACCAGAGGTGAACAGAACGGATTTCTTCAGTGTATAATGTTCTTTTACTGTTGTTTACCAGGATTTTCTGTGAGCCGTGCTTTTGAGCAAGGAACCAGTCTATATTTTATCAAAACTGTAGATCCAGAGTGAAATGGGAAATAATTCAAATCCTTAGCTTCTCAGAGAATTTTGCCCTATCTGATTCACATACTCAGAACAAAGCATACATTCATGCAACCACAAACAGATGGTGTAAATTGAATCACACGTATTGCTGAAATATTACTCCCTATTCCCAAATGGAATAATGAAATCTACATTATTTCCAACTACTATAGTTATGCCTGTATGAAACCAAACTGCCAGCATCCATTTTGAGGTCAAGTGCAGACCTGATCTGCTAATAACATGCTCTTTCAGGATTTTCTGTGAGCTGTGCTTTTGAGCAAGGAACCAGTCTATATTTTATCAAAACTGTATATTCAGAGTGAAATGGGAAATAACTCAAATCCTTAGCTTCTCAGAGAATTTTGCCCTATCTGATTCACATACTCAGAACAAAGCATACATTCATGCAACCACAAACAGATGGTGTAAATTGAATCACACGTATTGCTGAAATATTATTCCCTATTCCCAAATGGAATAATGAAATCTACATTATTTCCAAAAAGTAATGTCTGCTGGCTGTGCTTTTGACACTAACCACATGCACATGCACATACCCCCTACTGCCCCCCATGCACATTACTCTGGATCCAAGACAAAGAAAGGCCATGAAAAATTTCAGCAATGTTTAGGTTACAAGAGGAACTCAGACCTAGGAGGATTATTCACACTACAAACAGGCTGAGAAAAGAATGACTTATTTCTGGTTATAATGTTAAGTAAATTCATTTTCCCAGAGTATGTCCGTATTGTAAAAGTCATCACCACATATGTGGGTTCTGGTAACCCAAATGACCTCAGGTTGTTCAGAGTTCATTCAAGTGCCTTTACATACTGAGCTGTAACTACAGTTCATAAAGTACAAATTTATCTTTTATTACTCTCATGGGAATATTTTTGTCACCTTTACACTGTTTAATTTATTATTTTTATTTCATGTGTATGTGTGCATTCCATGCACATTACTCTGGATCCAAGACAAAGAAGGGCCATGAAAAATTTCAGCAATGTTTAGGTTACAAGAGGAACTCAAGACCTAGGAGGATTATTCACACTATAAACAGGCTGAGAAAAGAATGACTTATTTCTGGTTATAATGTTAAGTAAATTCATTTTCCCAGAGTATGTCCGTATTGTAAAAGTCATCACCACATATGTGGGTTCTGGTAACCCAAATGACCTCAGGTTATTAAGAGTTCATTCAAGTGCCTTTACATACTGAGCTGTAACTACAGTCCATAAAGTACAAATTTATCTTTTATTACTCTCATGGGAATATTTTTGGCACCTTTACACTGTTTAATTTATTATTTTTATTTCATGTGTATGTGTGCATTGCCTGCATGTAGGTAAGCATACGCATGTCATGCAATGCCCACGGAGCACAGAAGAGGCCATCAGATGCCCTGGAACTGGAGTTATGGACATTCGTTAGCTGCCATGTGGGTACTGGGATTCAATCTTGGGTCTTCTGCAAGAACAGCCAGTGTTCTTTACTGCTGAGCCATCTCTTTACATGTCTTAGTATGTATCATCTTGAACATTAATACTTGTGACAACAATCTGACCATTCTTTCTAATGACTGAAAAGCCTTACTTTGTGTCTTCCCATGTGATGCCAAGAGATTCAATTAAAAGGCTTCTACAGTCAGGCAGAGAGGCTTTGTGTGTGAGAAAAGTACAACAGGGACACTTGCAGATTCCAGTCTATAAGTGCATCAGTCCTAAAATCTGGAAGCTAAAGATCTGAGTCATTTGGGTTGTATTTTTTAAGGTACATTTTACCGAATATTTGTGTATTTTATAAAATATATCTTAATCATATTTAGACTCCCTCCATTATTTCTGTTCCCTCTCCCTACCATACTCCTTGAAAAACCTTACCACATTTCATGCATTCTGTAATATTTGTTAAAACCTATCAAGTAAAACTTTTGTACCAAGAAGTCCCTTGATGCAAGTTCATGCATTGGAGTCTAGTTAGCCTGTCTAAAGTCACTCCCTTTAAGAAGATCAACTATCCCTCATCCAGCAGTAATAATTTGCCAATAGTTCCTCAGCTAAGGTGAAGGCCAGCTGTCCATTTCCCAAGTTCTATGCTGTTTTTTCTG